TTGCATTATTTTTTATTTTATTTTTTTTTGTTTTTTGTTTGTTTTTCTGTTTTGTTTATATGTTTGAAAGAAAAGGCATGTCATTCTGTGTCTGGTACACACATAATATGTGAATTGTCATATTGAAAATGCATAAATAAAATTATAAAAAAAAAACAAAAAAGAAAGTTGCCAGAGGAGTCCAGTCCCTTTGAGCCTTTGGACTGAAGACCATTATTATTCAGAGTATTATCAGTAATGCAGGTAAAAGCCAGCTCTGTCCGACCTCTGAATCTTAGGTTAAAGCCCAGGTACACTCTAAGGGGGCCCATCTCCCTGGGCCCCCTGTTATCTTTTTATTAAGATAGATATTATACTATCATCTTATCTTGAGCTCTGAGTGACTGAAGGCCCAGAGAGAAACCACCTGAAGATGCTTCTGTAGCGCCACCTTCATAGCCGTCAACGTAGAACATGAAAAATAGCACTAGTCTTTTGGATTAAACCCAAGTCTGATCAAACTGCATGGGCGTCTGCCCATGGTGTAAGAAGAATCTGGGTTAGGGTTGCAACATTTGCCTCCATTTTGTTTAAGATAGTAAGTAAGTAAGTAAGTAAGTTATTATTTATATACCGCCTTTTCACTGCAGATCTGAGTCTCAAAGCGGTTTACAATTGTTAATTTTGGGCATTTGTCTCTCACTCCACACAGAGATGGGAGCAGGGTCGCCAGTACAGGAAGCGCATGCCAGAACTATTGGACATATTTTTAGTGGTAGGGGAAACCGGAGTACCCGGAGGAAACCTACGCAGACACGGGGAGAACATGCAAACTCCACTCAGAAAGGCCCTGGTCTGGCCGGGATTCGAACCCAGGACCTTCTTGCTGAGAGGCGAGAGTGCTATCCACTCAGCCACCGTGCCGCCCGTGGCTGATAGAGATAAGATAGAGATTTAAATTTATATATATATGTATATATATATATATATATATATATTTGTCCACTATATATATAAATTGTTCACTCACCTTTGGCCCTCCACGGGCGGTTATCCCTCTCTAAGCTTGGGTCCTCTACCAGAGGCCTGGGAGCTTGAGGGTTCTTATATAGGCCCAATTTATTAAGATGGAAATATGAATGAATTGATTGTGAACCGGGGCAGTGGGAAGTTTGAACTCGACTGAAGTAAAATCCAATCAGGCCAAAGCCTTTTCTGTTTGAATGTGGCCACATCATAAATGTTCCATTGAAATGCGTTGGAATTGTACATTGTCACTGGCCAAAAAGCCAAGGCAGGTTTATTTATATGACACAGTTCATACACAAGGCTACTCTAAGTGCTGAACAAAACAAGAATAATCACAGTTCATTAAAATCCTTAATTTTTTGCAGAAACAAAACTGTTTTAACCTGAATTTGAACATTGTCAGAGAAGAGGGCTGTCTCACATTTTCAGGAAGACTGTTCCAGATTTTAGCATAAATCTGAAACATTGCCTCCTCGTGTTTAGTCCTGACTCCGGGACCAGTAGGAGGCCAGTCCCTGTGCTCCTCAGAGTCTGGATGTTTGGATAAAGGTCTCATCCTTGACAAGAGTATATCACATAATCACTAACACACAGAGAGATCCAGGTCACTGCAGTCCGGAGGTTATCAGGTTTTTATCAGACTCGGACCAGAACCAAGAGCCAAACAACAACGACAGTGGCAACGATAGCTGCTCCAATCTTAAGGGGACAAAACATTTGTAGATATTGTCTCCAGTGTATCAAGAATTAATCAAATTTTCAGAATACACACTTCCTAAAGGACATAGGTTTATGATAAAACACTGTTCACTCATGTAATAAGAAATAAACACTTACAGTGCCTTGCGAAAGTATTCGCCCCCCTTGAACCTTTCAACATTTCGCCATATTTCAGGCAAGTGGGACACAATCGTGAAGTGGAATGAAATTTGTTGGATAATTTAAACTTTTTTAACAAATAAAAAACTGAAAAGTGGGGCGTGCAATATTATTCGGCCCCTTTACTTTCAGTGCAGCAAACTCACTCCAGAAGTTCAGTGAGGATCTTTGAATGATCCAATGTTGTCCTAAATGACTGATGATGATAAATAGAATGCTCCTGTGTGTAATCAAGTCTCCGTATTAATGCACCTGCTCTTTGATAGTCTCGGGGTTCTGTTTAAAGCGCAGAAAGAACCATGAAGACAAAGGAACACACCTGGCAGGTCCGAGATACTGTTGTGGAGAAGTTTAAAGCCGGATTTGGATACAAAAAGATTTCCCAAGCTTTAAACGTCTCAAGGAGCACTGTGCAAGCAATTATATTGAAAGGGAAGGAGTATCAGACCACTGCAAATCTACCAAGACCCGGCCGTCCCTCCAAACTTTCATCTCAAACAAGGAGAAGACTGATCAGAGATGCAGTCAAGAGGCCCATGATCACTCTGGATGAACTGCAGATAACTACAGCTGAGGTGGGAATGGTGTGTTCAGGGTGTCAGGGTGATGAGCTGTGTTGCTTTTACGCCAAACATATCGTTTTGCATTGTGGCCAAAAAGTTTGATTTTGGTTTCATCTGACCAGAGCACCTTCTTCCACATGTTTGGTGTGTCTCCCAGGTGGCTTGTGGCAAACTTTAAACAAGACTTTTTATGGATATCTTTGAGAAATGGCCACTCTTCCATAAAGGCCAGATTTGTGCAGTGCACGACTGATTGTTGTCCTATGGACAGACTTTCCCACCTCAGCTGTAGTTATCTGCAGTTCATCCAGAGTGATCATGGGCCTCTTGTCTGCATCTCTGATCAGTCTTCTCCTTGTTTGAGATGAAAGTTTGGAGGGACGGCCGGGTCTTGGTAGATTTGCAGTGGTCTGATACTCCTTTCATTTCAATATAATTGCTTGCACAGTGCTCCTTGAGATGTTTAAAGCTTGGGAAATATTTTTGTATCCAAATCCGGCTTTAAACTTCTCCACAACAGTATCTCGGACCTGCCTGGTGTGTTCCTTTGTCTTCATGGTTCTCTCTGCGCTTTAAACAGAACCCTGAGACTATCAAAGAGCAGGTGCATTTATACGGAGACTTGATTACACACAGGTGCATTCTATTTATCATCATCAGTCATTTAGGACAACATTGGATCATTCAAAGATCCTCACTGAACTTCTGGACTGAGTTTGCTGCACTGAAAGTAAAGGGGCCGAATAAATTTCGTTCCACTTCACGATTGTGTCCCACTTGTTGTTGATTCATGACAAAAAATTAAAATTTTATATCTTTATGTTTGAAGACTGAAATGTGGCAAAATGTTGAAAGGTTCAAGGGGGCCGAATACTTTCGCAAGGCACTGTATGTCTCCTGCAAATATATTGATGTAATGTTTGCTGTAAGTGCGAACAATGTATAAAGAGAAAATAGTGGAATAGGTTTAAAGCTGGGGTACTTAACTTGTCTTTCTCGTAGACTGTTAGAGGAGAGGATTGGTGTCCCCATAGGGTTAGCTTAGCGCTAACTAAAACAGGCTGAATGTCGAATGTGGAGCCAAATGTTTGCTATTTTAATTGGTAGAAACATCCAAGTTACTCCAAGTGCTAGAGCTCATATCTAGTATTACACTGTAAACATAAGTAAAACATTTTATTTAAATCTATTTTCATTTGAGCACACCCATATGGAAAAGATGTACAGATATTTTATAAAAGTTTTATAGGACTTGCTTGAGATGAATAAATTCCACAAATGACAGTCAAGCAACACACAAATTCCAAAGGAAGATTGTTCACTCCAAATTACTCATGGAAACATGTCCTTTTATTTACATGAAAGTGACGTATAAGCAAAGTTACAAGTAAGAATTTGGGTAATCAGCATAAAAAATCTGTAATTTTATAAAGTTAATACTGAGAAATATCCAAAGGAAGTAACATCTGGCTCCAAGGAGATGGTGCCCATTGTTGGTGCATCGTCGAATGCACCAACAATGCAATAATAAGTAATAATAATATTTAATATGAGAGATCTTTGAATATTCCTTCAAACTAGAAGCAATACAAACTCTGTGTATCACAAATTAAACTATTCAAATAAATGTGTGCTTTTAGTTTATGAATGGTGTTAATTATAAAAGAATTCTCATTCTGCCCTTTGATTGGATAAACATAAATATTCTGAACATCATTGTCTTTTAATTGCAGAATATTTTCAGTTTAAACTTTCGCTTAGATCAGAGACGATGTGCCAATGCGACCAGAATCTGCGACATATAAAGATGTAGACCCATTAACTTGTGCTGACTGTGAAGTAAACTGCATTTTTTTTCAATAATTGAGGGAAAATATCTTTATTCGGGACGATTTAAGCCACACTTAATTACTTATTAGATCACAGCAATACTATTGTAGAAATGTTTTAATATTATTTATAGTATGTACATATAAAACTTATATTTTGGTACAGCCCTCAATCACAACAGCAGGTTTTACATTTCTCATTCCTTTGTCTCTGGCACAGAATGTAATGATAAACAAAACAGTTATTTATTTCTGTAATTCAACATTAATTATGAAGCCTCCTGCTGGGACTCTTAGGAGCACAGGGACTGGCCTCCTGCTGGTCCCAGAGTCAGGACTAAACATGATGAGGCAGTGTTTCAGATTCATGCAGCTAAAATCTGGAAGTCATCCTAAAAACTTGAGGCAGGCTTCTGATAATGTTCAAATCCAGGTTAAAACAGTTCTGTTTCACTGCAAGAACGGAGGGACTTTATCTTTTTAATTATCTGTAATTATTTATGATTTTAACGCCTTGTTGTTTCTATCTTGTTGTGTTCAGTTGCCTTGTGTCTGTGCTATATAAATAACATCCCTTGCCTTGTACAAAAATAAGAACATTGCTTTAGGTCAGAAATGTTGGTCTCATAGTTTCATTTTACAAAGATATTTAAAAAAGCTCAAAAACTCACCTGCAGCAGAACCAGAAAGGATCAGGAAGCACAGCACAAACCAAAGCCCCATGGTCCCCATGTTGAGAAGTCGTCAGTCTGTGTCACATGAGATAGTTTATATAAAGATGTTTGTGACCTTCAGATCAGAGGGACGGACCAGAACCACACCTCCAGCTCAGAGGGAGAGACCAGAACCACAGCTCAGAGGGAGAGACCAGGACCACACATCCAGCTCAGAGGGAGAGACCAGGACCACACCTCCAGCTCAGAGGGAGAGACCAGGACCACACCTCCAGCTCAGAGGGAGAGACCAGAACCACACCTCCAGCTCAGAGGGAGAGACCAGGACCACACCTTCAGCTCAGAGGGAGAGACCAGGACCACACCTCCAGCTCAGAGGGAGAGACCAGGACCACACCTCCAGCTCAGAGGGAGAGACCAGGACCACACCTCCAGCTCAGAGGGAGAGACCAGGACCACACCTTCAGCTCAGAGGGAGAGACCAGGACCACACCTCCAGCTCAGAGGGAGAGACCAGGACCACACCTCCAGCTCAGAGGGAGAGACCAGGACCACACCTCCAGCTCAGAGGGAGAGACCGGGACCACACCTTCAGCTCAGAGGGAGAGACCAGGACCACACCTTCAGCTCAGAGGGAGAGACCAGGACCACACCTCCAGCTCAGAGGGAGAGACCAGGACCACACCTCCAGCTCAGAGGGAGAGACCAGGACCACACCTTCAGCTCAGAGGGAGAGACCAGGACCACACCTTCAGCTCAGAGGGAGAGACCAGGACCACACCTCCAGCTCAGAGGGAGAGACCAGGACCACACCTTCAGCTCAGAGGGAGAGACCAGGACCACACCTTCAGCTCAGAGGTACCAGGACCTCACCCCCAGCTCACAGGGACCAGGACACTGCTCATGGTTTAGTGTAATCACTGCTCGTAGGTACATTTGTGGTCTTTATAACATTGTGACTTTTTCTCTTTCTTCATTAGGTTTATTTCTATAGTAACCATAGCAACATTCTGTTAACTTGTCAGCATTAGCTTTCAACAAACTGTATTTTTCTGCATTTCAGTAATATTCATATTTTAGCACTTATTAAAAGTGAGTAAAGGTACATTTAAATAAAACGATAAACTCACTATCTTCCACTGAAGTCCGAGTGTTAACCCTGCTCTAAACGCTGAGCAAAAATGTGACATCACTTTGATCCCAATTTGTAGTTTTTTCTGGACAATATGAGACAATAATAATAATGATAATGAAGCATTGGTTTTATACAGAGCTTTCAGGACGCCCAAAGTCTCTTTACATCATTGTTCATTCACTCCATACACAGTGGTGATAAAATACCACTGTAGCCACAGCTGCCCTGGGGCACACTGACAGAAACGAGGCTCCTATATTCGTTTTGCAGAATGTCATTTTCAGATGTGGAGATTTAGATTAAAATAATGAACAGGACAAAATGAATAAACTGGGATAAAAGGGTTAGGGTTTTGTTTACTTATGTTGACTTAGCATTTGATCTATGCCTTTAATGTGGGTCCGTGTAATTTTCGTTCAATGTTTTTTTCAAATTAAAATATAAAATGAAATATCGTAAAATTGCCGAATTTTTATTTATTTATTTCATTTTGATGAGGAAAAGGAAAAACCAAAAATTGGCTAAATATTTTTATTTTTTTTAATGTGAGTCTGTAGAGGTTAGAGAAAAGATCTTCAACTGTTTGCCACAGCACCTGGAGTTATGTTAAAACTTAGGAACACTCCGCCTGCTTTCTCCGTGCACATATCTGCTGATCACCTCTTGACGCGACTGGAAAGGTATTATATGTATTTGGCATGGTTATTTTTTCGTTCTCTGGCTCAGGGTTCTGGCTGAATCTTCTGTGGAACCGAATCGCAGCTCCACTCTTTGTAAATATGAAAATAACGGTGCACAGCCAATTTCCACCAAATCGAAAAAACACTATCAAATTGGCCTAAAACCATTATTCACTATTTTGTTTTTTCTGCATCGAAACGAAACATCAAATATGAAGCCAATTTTTTGTTTTTCCTTTTCCTCATCAACAGGAAAAATGAACATTCAAGCCATTTTAAAATCCGTGTACCCTTCGATCATTAGTTATTCCGTTTCAAAATAAAATCAGAAAAACAAATTACGTGGTTGTTTTAATGTATTTCAATACAATACAATACAATTGTATTGTATTTTCTAAATTAAATTGGAAAATCAAAACATTCTAAATAAAATATTCACCCATTTCTTTGCTATGCAGTGGAAACAAACACTACTAAAACAACTTCCATTATTTTGTTTGATATGCTCCCGGAAATGATGAGTGGTGAGAGACGGAAACAACTGCAAGCTGCACTCAACTCAACTCAACTACACGACAACAACTCGCGCTGTTGTTGAGCTCGCCCCCAGGCCCGAGCTCCAGGGGCAAAATGCTTACAGCACCTAGTAATAAAATAAAGTTCCAAGGATATTTAACTAGTGTATACACTAGTCAGCAGGAGGTATTTACAGATGGAACCTAATCTATTATAGAATCTATTAAATGTTTACTTAAAAATAAAGGTGTAATACTGCAATGCATTCGGGGGTATTGATGTTGCTATATGATGAACATAACAGGAAAGCATTTGAGCTAGTGTGGTTTGTTTTGTTTCAGAGATATCTGCATAACAACTGAGGAACCTACTTTTCTTTTCATCATCTGCATCCCAGAGACATGGAGGTAAATGCAACAACACATAACCACAAACCACGCAAACCAGTGAATCACTCATATGGACCAACTTAAATAAATAATTATGTTAATTAACGGGTTGGACTGATAATAAAAATGATGATAATGATAATAATGAAATGACATAATCCTGTACATTGGTCACTTGACACATGTCTGTAATGTAAGGTTGATCATGATAGTGTTTGTGCTTTCCCACATCAGGCGCCTGGACACCAGTGCAGTGTGTGTGACAAGAGCTTCTCTCTCAAGTCAAACCTGACCCGCCACATGCAGCTCCACACGGCACAAGAGGAGCACATGTGTGATGTGTGTGGACAGCCAGATTGAGCCTTTGTGGCTGGATTGTGACCAGGCAGAGGCTGCAGCCAGGAAGACCAGGGGAGACATGTGGGAAGGACACTGGTGTTCACTTTTAGCAAATACTCTGGCCACTCTTTCAGCTGGCTGCTGGAGAATGTGGGCTGCTGGCAGAATACTGCTAGTTACTAGTACACTAAAGCGGGATAATCCCATTAAAACTTTTTGTGTCCTTTTCATTAAAAAGCATAACCCATGGAAATAATTCCCCTGTTTAAGTAATATTAAGTCATTGTACAATCTACAGATCTACAGCTACAACCTTGTCCAAATGTCTCCGCTTTTGCAAGGTAAATTGATAGATATTAAACCACCATATTGTTTTATTTATCAGTTATCAAATAAGTCGATACATCAGTGTTTTTCAACCACTGTGCCGCGGCACACTAGTGTGCCGTATGATATTGTCTGGTGTGCCGTGAGAAATTCGTCTACTTTGTCTAAAAATAGCTGCATTCGCTGTTGACGAGCGGTGACTTGTTTTGAACTGTGAGTAACCATGTAATACTTTTTCAAATCAGTAGATGGCAGCAGATAGCTAAGTACTTTGAAACTGAAAAATTGGATGCGACCACTGGCTGTAACAGGTCAGCATTGTGGCGAGAAAGGTAAAATTGGATGCGACCAACAAATGTGGGAGGGAGCGAGACAAGAGCTTTGTGGCGAGTGAGAAGTGAAAGTGATAGAGACGTTTTTGAAAATGAATTATGCCGTTTCTGAACAGGATTAACATCCTCCGCTCTGCCCCGGGGTAGCTGTGGCCGCGTTGTAGTGGTTTAACTATGAAATGTACCATTTTTGTACAACAGCTCTCGCGAACGCACTTCTGAACTGGGTACCGAGGGCAGACCATAGTCGAGTGGACAGAACCACAGACATGCGGACCAGACAGAACCATGGACTCGCGTTCAGGACCTCCCGTGTCCCTCATCCAAAACTCCTGAATTTAAAGCTCGGATACCAAAATGTTTCCCATGCACTAACAATGCATGTTCTTTGTGTGAGTTATTATTTGACTATTTGGGCAGAGAGTGGATTTTCTTAGTTTTTTTCCACACAGTTAGTGCCACTTTATTCCCAAACTCTTGTTAATTGTATTGAGAAATATTAAATAAAGCTTAAAGTCAAGGCCTGGACTTAAGCATTTTGATGAGAATAACTGTATATTGTGAATATAGGCTACAGAGTATACTGTATACATTATAAGATAAGATAAGATATACTTTATATATCACACAGAGTATGTACAGTATATATTTTTACATTAGTACTGTATACATTTTTACATTTTCTCCTGGAGGTGTGCCGCAAGATTTTTTCAGTGAAAAAAGTGTGCCTTGGCTCAAAAAAGGTTGAAAAACACTGCGATACATAATTATTGTAACTGGCCTTGTTACAGGTGGAAATGATGCGTACATGTACAGACTATTAACACATTAGCATATGGGATGGCAGCTTCCATATCAACATTCAAATGTGATGGTTTTTTCCTCTCTTCAGAGAATGTCCTGGATGAGGAGCATGTCTCCACAGCACTTGCAAGAATGACCCCCTGACCCCCCCGGTGTCTCAGGCCTTGGTCCTCGTTCTGTAGTTTAAGTCCTGGATCTATAGCCCGTCCGTCCATGTGGAGCAGATCCCTTTCTCAATATCTGGTCTCCCAGAGGTTTCTCACTTTTCTCCCACTGGGTTTTAGAGTTTTTCTTCTTATGCAGGGTCTATTGGACAGTTGGTATCTAACAAAAAGGACTGTGATGATCCAGGACACTTTAACATTCTACAACATGTATGACATTTGTGTCTACTCCTTATAGACCAATGGTTCTGTGTTTTTAACACTTTAAGCACAAGCACAATGATATTCTCTGATTTGTGTTTTGAAAGCTATACAATGTATTATGTGCTTTGGATTTGCCTGATATTTATTACATTTTTAAAATTAAGTCTCTATGCTCTTTCAATATTATTTATGCATTATTTGACAGGGACAATGCAGACACAGTCATAAACAAAGCTTGCAGCTAATGTGATGAATATAGTTTATAACAGATGCTAATTCACAACTCCTGTCCCTGGTTGGGCTTTACTACTATAAAAGTCAATAAAATTCCTACATTCTAAAAATACGCTTAATTTACAGCCTTTAGACTTATACTTTATTGAGAGAATAGAATAATCTGGAAGTAGATGCTCAGGAATATACATATTTGTGAATATGTACATTTACAGTATAAAATACAAAAAAAAAAAGAATACTACACATCTGTTCACATACAATACATGCACAGACAAAGCAGATAAAGCTGAAGTCTGTTTAGATGAATGTGTTATTCTACAGCAGTACGGAGTGTGACATGAACGTGCTCCACAAGGTAAGAACTCTGCAGGGGGTGCTTTGAACAATTCATGCCATGATTCATGAGAAAGTATTCAAGTCTATTTGATTGCCAAACACAAATGTAAACTAAATTATCAAGATAATCAGCAATAAATGGTAAAATCTACATAAATATAAAAACGGGTGGATGTGGGCTCGAACCACAAACCTCAAGACGCAACTAAGAGCAATAAAAAGTACATTCTACATAAATCAAAAAATGGCAAGACCTGGGCTCGAACCACAAACCTCGAAACATAACTAAGATCAAGCTGATCCTAAGGTTGAGCGATCTCAGGATAGGTACCTGGGGGGGTCATGAGCCATTCCCAGGCGGTATCCCATCCAAGTACTAACCAGGCCCGACCTTGCCTAGCTTCCGAGATCAGACGAGATCGGGCATTCTCAAGGTGGTATGGCCGTAA